GGAGAATGCAAAAAGAGGAGACCAGGCTTGGGGCCACACCTCTGGCTAAAGGCATTTTGCCTCTTAAACACGCATACGGCCAGACCTGCGCACCTGGCTACCTCCAGCTGGGTTTTCTTTTGCATGAATGTCTCGTGTGCCGGAGGGGCCCTCGGGTCGCTTGGCGTCAGCAGAGCTCATTGCGGCGTTTGGGCAGCCATGGGTTGTTGCAGATCGTGGTCAGGACCTGCTCCCGACTCCTCCCTGGCAGCACAGCGACAGTGTGCTGCATTCATACCAGTCACGTGTGCGTTTGCTGTGTTTCAGGGTTCGCCGGGTCCCCCAGGGCCGCCGGGTCCCCAGGGTGCTCCAGGTCCCAAGGTGAGCCCAAGGCGGTGCCGGCTGCGGGGCTTGAGGCAGCACGTGGTAAAGGAGATGCTGTTGAACACTTCCTTGGGCCGAGAAAGGAGGTTTGCACACCAAAGCCAAACTTTTGTTGACCTGGCTCTGGTCCCCAGCCTCTTCCAGAGGATGCTGTCCCAGAAACAAATCCACTCCCAATCCCACACTGATGGGTGAAATCCCGGCCCCCCCAGATTTCCTCATTGCACGTGGCGGGAGGCAGAAGTGTATGGGAGCAGCAGCTGCGAGGAGGGGCTGGTGGTCCCCAAAGCTGGGCCAAGCCGCCCTCCATCCCGCCCTCCCCGTGCACCACGTCCAAGCGGGGACCACGCTGTCCTCCCGCTTCACAAGTAATAGCCAGTAACCTACAGTCAGAATTTAAATTAGATTAAATTTTTTAAATTAAAGAAAGAGCTTAACTTGCAGAAAAGTATCTCTTGGAAGAATGGGACAGGGCAGGACTTCGCTGCCCGTCGAGGTCTCCGTGTCACCCAGATTCGGATGAGCCAGTAATGCTGGCACGTCACTGAAACCTCCCTGCTGCTGCTCCTGCGCCTGGCGGTGCCAAGGCCATAACCACAACAGCCAATACGCATTAATAACTCAGTGTCTTGCAAAATGCTTTCCCGAGGTGATTTCGTGTTTTAACTTACCATGGGCTCCCCTTTCCTTGTGTCGCTTCAGGGAGAGCTGGGTTTGCCAGGTCCACCTGGACTGGACGGTGAAAAGGTGCGTGGGGCATGGCTGGACCAGAAGCCAAGTTGAAGAGGAGTTCACTGTGTATCTGTGAGAGCTGTCGCTGTGAAAAGCAACTCTCAGCTGGCAAGCTCTCTGCCCCATAACACTCAGCTGCATCTCCCTGAATTAACTGCCCTGTGCTGAGCCCTGAGTGTGCAGATGCTGCTCCCGGCCGCGTCCGCCGAGCTAAAGGGGCTCTTTCTGCGAGTCGTTCCTCAGACGCTGTCTCAAATTTTGTCATTAACCTTCCCCACCCTAAATGGCTGCAATCCCTGCTACGGCCCAGCCAAATTCTGCTGTGCCCACGAAATGGGCATGTGTAAGTTTTCATGTTAAAACATGTTTTTGCGAGCTCGTGCTGCGATACGGAGAGGAAAAAGCAGAAAGGAAGAAATGGGGTGGGGGGGACGGTGGGTGTTTTAACAGTTTTCTACTAAGCAAGTTGTTTTCTGTAAACTTCCAGGGTCCCAAAGGAGCGAAGGGTGACCAGGGCAGCGCGGGGATCACAGGACAGAAAGGAGAGACAGGAGAAATGGGCTTATCGGGTCCACCGGTACTCTTTCCCTCCCTGTACGTCTGCTGCTTGGTGCTTTACCGTACCGATCTCTGCAGACGCTCAGAACACGGCCGGGTTTGCTGCTTTAAGCGAGGACCCATCCACGCCGTGTTACTGCAGAGCTGGAAGATGCGGGAGCTTTGAATTTTATTTGTTAAAGTTGATGATAACGGCTTAGAAGGTGATCTAAGCTGGTAGCAAGGAGGAGAAAATCCCTTCTTGGAGTCCTCTGGGGATGAACATGAGCTGTGCTTCAGCCAAGGCTGGAGTTTAGGGGAAGGCAAATGCTTTTTTCTCTCTTGCTTTTGCTTTGCTGGAAGGTGCACCCCATCAGCGTTACGTTTTTATCATTTAGGGAGCAGAAGGGCCAAAAGGAGACAAAGGAGAAAAAGGAGACACCGGGTCACCGTGCTTGCAGAATAATCACGTAAGATCCTGGCACTGCAAAGCCTCGTCCACGACGCGGGGTCAGGCGATGTCGGGGTGCGCAGGCTGGAGCCGCTTGTGCCGCACCCATCCGCGGA